TAATTCTTGGGATCTGGGTTTGAGGAGTGTCCAAGGGAGTTGGAAATGACAATGGAGGATGAATTAGTTAACCTTTTAGGGTCAACCTATTTGGACCAATCTTGTTTGGACAGTAGAATTTGGAAACCTTACCCATTCGGTGTGTGTTCACTTGTTTCCTTTGTCCTCATTCATTTGTTCCTCCTCCAAAAGAGGTTTAGTGTYGGCCTGTACCTCCAAAAATTCGGGCTTTTTGTTGGGAGGTGGTTCTCCAAAAAATCAACTCTAGATATGCTGCAATGAAAAAGGCCACATTTTTGCTAGTCACCTCATGTTTGTAGCCTCTACTTGGGTTTTGGTGAGACGATCACACACCTATTAATTTCTTGTCCATTTGTGTGCTTTCTTTGGACATGGTTTCCTTCTATCTTTGGTTGCAGGTGGAGGCCTCCCCCGGATGTAGTAAGCCTTTTTGACCCAAGCTTTTTTAGGCAACCAAAGAAGCGTGGAAGAATAGTGTGGAGGGCCACAAGAGCAGTTATCCTATGGTCGGTTTGAGAAGAAAGAAACAATAGGATCTTCAAAGGAGTGGAGAAATCCAAGGAGGAAACTGTAAACAGAATAGCCATTATGACTATTAAATGGTTGAAAACTTTGGATTTATTTAAAGACTTCTCAGCTGAAGACATTTACAGGAATTGGGGAGTGGTGACAACTACAACCTCCACAAAACCTACTATGCAGGAGTTATGGTCCCACCAACACAACAAAGAATGAAACTGAACTTTGATGGGAGCTCTAGAGGTAACCCGGGCCCTTCAGGTATAAGGGGGAGCAATCAGAGATAAAATGGCAGAATTGTGGCTATGTTTTTGAGGCCAATAGGAGTGGGGGACTCRTTGAGAGCGGAGGTGATGGCCTTGCTTCATGGTGTTAGATATGCCAAACAATTGGGGTTACACCAAGTTGAGATAGAGAGAGGACTCTAAATGGTTAATTGATTGGCTGCAATCAGGTAAGTTGGGAGCCTGGATTTATAGACCGCCTATGAGGGAAATCCTCAATATAACAAGGGAGATTGGTGCRTGCTTCAAATGGACAAGGAGATCAGCTAATGGCTTAGCTGATATGTTGACTAAACATTTAAACAAGGGACTGCGAGGGAGAGTATTATTCTGGGCAGTTTTGTAATAAAGATTACTGGGGACTCAATACCTGTTTAGGGGTTGACAGATGTACTTAATATTGTATTAATGAAGTTACCATTTCCAATCCAAAAAAATGTCATTTTCAAGAACCATACCACACTTTTTAGAACCCTGAACCAATTGCCAGGCCAATAAAAACTTCACTGCCATGTTTGGAAGGACGCTTCCATCCAAAACGCACTTGGAACCAATGCCCAGATGTTGCTGGTATAATTACAATGCAGGAATGTGGTTTGATGATTCAGCCTCAAAAGAGCAAATGTCACAAAACATGTTTCATATGTTATGTTTATATATTTTAGTTTGAGCTAATAGGCTTTTTTAAACATTTAGTTCTTTTTCTGGTACAAGCATGAAAAAAGAACATTTAGTTTTTTGAACATTTATTTTGATTTTTTGCATTTATTTTGATTTTTCTTTTTAAATTTTGCACCCTTCTTGAAAAAGAAGCACACCTTGCCTTGTGCCTTGCATCTTGGGCACAAAAGGCCCCTTGCACTTTTTTTGTGCCTTGTGCTTTTAAAAGTTARAACACTGGTTGTATAGTTCCACTCTAGTTTAGGTTGCCAATTAGTTGGAAAACCTTCTTGTTAGCCATCTCCTAATGGTTAAATAGATTATATTCTTTATTTTCCCATCTTTTTTGGTTTTCTCATATGATGAATCTTATTTTTTCTTTGATGCTTAAGTTACTCTTTGCAAGGATTTTTTTTTGAAGATAAATAAAAATGAAAATTCATTAACCTAGAAAAGAAGACAAAGTACAATAAGAGAGGTAATGAGAAATCATCAAAAGAAAAACAAGACAGACTAAAACAAAATACAAGTCATCAGTTCCCCCCTCCATTTCCAAAGATGACCAAAAACCAACCTGAAAAGATTCTCATGCCAATCCCAAAAACTCTGGCAGAAACATAATCCATTCAAAATTCTTTTCCTGATGATTGAACACAGCTCCTCCTTGGATCTTGCATTGTCCTTGAAAATTCTTTTGTTCCTCTCTTTCCGTATCTCCCAACAGATTGCAAATGGAACACTTGACCAAACATTTTTAGCTTTCTTGCTCCAATTTAAAACTGGCCAAGAAGCAAAAATCTCCAATGGGCTTCTAGAATTCCACAAGACTGAGCCAAATAAGAGTGAAGCACATCTCCTTTGAACATCCACATAAGTAGCACCTGTTGACTAACTGAATTCCTCTTCTCTTTGGATGGTCTAGTATTAGTATACTATCCAGTGCAACCAACCAAGCAACTGCTTCCACCTTAGCCAGTTCCCCCAAATACTTTTTAAATTAGTTCTTTGCAAGGATTATTCTTTTGTGTCAAACAGCTGGATGCATAGATAAAAATTTTCACAAGCATAAGCCAAGTCATATCAAATAGAAAATGGTAAACCATAACCAGAAAATCAAGAAACATGAACCAAGAGAGCAAGCATACATTAAATAGAAGCATCATAATCCATTATGGAAAATAGAAGCATACAATAAATTTGGGATGGAACCACATAGCCTCTGTACACCTCACAATTAGTCTATATTCATCMTCTTTCACAGAAAAACCAGAAACAACAATTGTTTAAATAAGGCCCATTATCAGGTGGCTTCTCAGACATACCATATACTAGATACTGGTTGCCTTGTTGGACAGTTCACATACACCACCTGTCTTGTTTTACAAGCCCCATATAAATAACTGGATTTACAGAATGTCCTCGTATAGACCACGATTACAAATATACCCAAACATCCTCCAACATCCTCTCTGAAATTAGACCTGAAAGATAAAATCTCTCTAAATATCCTCCTTATCAATGGGATTATCCATCTATCTTTTTTTGATGAATGATAATAGATTTATTAATTCAGAAGCTGATTTAGAGTGAATTCATACAACATCCCAGGGAGAGGCRCGAGCTGCAGCCCCTCCTTGAATCTTACAAGTAAACTAGGAAAGAAAAACAGGAATCACAGCTGAGCCCAAAACAATTCTTCCCTATTTACCCCTTGCTTGGCTAACACATATGACAAAGTATTTGCTGATCTCCCCACCCACTGTACAGTGACCAACATATTCCTTGTCAACCAACTGAATTTCTTCATTTCATTCTTGTAGCGCCACATAGCCTCTTCAGGATTTTTCAACCAACACACCACCACTTTGGAATCCCCTTCGATTATTAGGTGTTGTACCCCCAGCTGGTTTGCAAATTACACCCCTTGTACAGCAGCTAATAGCTCTGCCCTGTATCCATCTATSTGTCTATGTATGTATGTATGYATGTATGTATGTATGTGTGTATTTAATTTGATTCGTTAATGGGATTGTTACTGATATAAAAAGTAAGGGCATTATGTATTGCACTCAGAAGTTGTCCATCTCTTGGATTAAATTTTACATTGTGTAGATAGGGCAGCTTCCCATGGATTTCAGCCTTTGCATTGGTTCATGGACTGAATAGAACTAGAGTAGTAGAGTGGTACATGTATTAGGTTATTGTATGGAGGGGTGATACTTTGCTTTGGACTGAAGAGAGTGATAAAAGCATCTAAATTTGGAAGTGTGAAAATAAACTACCATTTAAGTTCTGCTTACCATAAAAGTGTACTGTGGACTACTGTTTTAGAAGCAAGAGGCACAAGAAAAGCACAATGGTCTTCTAGTGCCCAAGGTGCAAAGGCATAGGAAGAGGCATATACTAAGATGAATCAAGACAATTTTTCAAAAAAATTCGTAAGCATAACATCTAAAACTAATTCAAAATGAAGTGCTTCAAGCACTAAACAGTTCAAGTATGTGAAACTTTGAATGTGTTTTTTCTCCTCCCAGTTGCAACCTTGGCTAGTGTAATGTTAGATGTCTTGTATTCCCAATCTTAGGAGGTTGGGGCCTTTATGAAGGCAGAGGACTGATAGATCCTGGAGTCAGAGGAAAAGGACCAAACCCATCTGGGGGTGCCCTTGAGCTGAATATTTGGCTTGTACTTGAGGCGGGGTGGTTTTGTGGTTTTGATCACTATTCATTTATTTTATAGTTATGGATCAAAGATCAATTATATTGTTTTTGCTTCTTTAGTGGAAATTTTGCTGATTGAGATCCTATCTGTGACAGCTGTGGCTTCATGTTTTCATAGGGTCTTTGTTTTTGTGTCTTTTAAACGTTAATAGATTACTAGTGCATGCACACCGATAAAAAGGTAATTTATAAGTTAATATACAATAACAAAGGTTAAAAACATAAGAACGCATAAAAAGGTAAACAGAACAGTCAATTTATAAAAGGTGCATGCTTGGAACAAAGCACAAGGCGACCTTACTCGTTCTTAGGTGCACTAGACATGTGAGTTTTGAAAGGGGCATTGCCTGGGTTCAAGTGAGGCATGTGCTTTAAAATGTACCTTGCCTGTGTGCCTTTTAAAATGGAATAGTATTGTGAAATTCCATCTGGTTGTCATTTTCGGCTTGCATTATTTATCATGTCTATAGTCATCTTCATAATCATTCTTTAGAATTTATAATCATCTACAGAAAGCAGTTGTACTTGTTTGTGAGGTGATTATAACCTTAAAAGAACTATCTTGTAATTCTTGTTCTATATGGCCAAATATCTCTCTCTTCTTCTCTGCAGATTTGGAACTTGCAGGCATAAGCATAACTTGAATTTTTTACTTAAATTAATTTTGTGCATTTCTGAATCTGGTACTCTTTTCTCCTTAAGCCTTCTATATTTATAAATGGTTGTAATTGCTGTATCACCATGTTCCATGTTATGACATTTGACACTGAGTATTGTTATTTCTGTTTATTTGCAGAACATCAAAGGAGATATCAGATCTAGAAGGGGAGCTTTTGTCAATCAGAAACCTTCTATCTACTCAGGCAGCTCTTATTCATGGTTTAGCTGAAGGAGTCAAAATTGATTCTTTGCCATCCAATGCTTCTGAAGGTTCACCAGAACATGGCATATCTAAATTTGAAGATAAGGGGCTTTCAGATACAGAGAAATGGGCACTGGAGTTCCCTGATGTACTTGACGTCTTGCTAGCTGAGAGGAGAGTGGATGAAGCTTTGGCTGCCCTTGATGAGGGTGAAAATGTAGTTGCAGAAGCAAAAGAAAAGAAAACACTGAGTCCAGCTGCACTTCTTTCACTACAGATTGCCATTACTGAACGGAGACAAAAGTTATCTGATCAGCTTGCTGAAGCTGTTTGCCAACCTTCTACTCGTGGCAGTGAGCTTCGTGCAGCTGTTTTGGCTCTTAAAAGACTTGGAGATGGTCCCCGTGCTCATACTTTGCTACTTAATGCTCATTACCAAAGATTTCAATATAATATGCAAAGTCTTCGACCTTCAAGCACCTCATATGGAGGAGCATATACTGCTGCTCTCTCGCAGATAGTTTTCTCTGCCATCGCTCAGGCTGTGAGTGATTCTTTAGCTATTTTTGGCAAGGAGCCAGCATATACATCTGAGCTTGTGATGTGGGCTACAAAGCAGACAGAGGCTTTTGCACTTCTTGTCAAGAGACATGCATTGGCCTCATCAGCAGCTGCTGGAGGTCTAAGGGCTGCTGCAGAGTGTGTTCAGATAGCATTAGGCCATTGTTCATTGTTGGAATCTCGTGGTTTGGCACTTTGCCCCATTCTCTTGAAACAATTTAGGCCTAGTGTTGAGCAAGCATTAGAGGCTAATTTAAAACGAATTGAAGAGAGCACTGCTGCATTAGCTGCTGCTGATGATTGGGTGCTCACTTATCCTCCAACTGTTACACATCAATCTGGTAGAACCTCAAATGCATCTATTGGCTCTGCAAYGGCATTTCACCATAAACTTTCAAGCAGCGCTCACCGCTTCAATTCCATGGTCCAGGTAGATGCTTTATGTTCAGCCTAAACTATATTCTATTGTGTCATGTAAAATGTTTATAAGAGTAATTTTCTACTGAAGTAAAATCTCACCTTTAGGCTTTAGTTACAACAGTAAGGTATAACCAATCAGTCACTTGACATTGTATATTGCATGTGTTGGATGGTTTTCTTAACGAATAACATAGTTTTGCTTTATTAATTCAGAATACTATAATATGAAGAATATTTTATTCATTAGGAGTTAAAGATTTTACTTGTCTGTTATTGTGAAGAACCTAATATGCTAACACTATTGTCTCTGTATCTTTTCTAGTTGAAATCCATTACATGAACTTGATGGCAAGATGACTGTATGGGCTGATGCATACTGGTCATAGTTAAGAAAATTATACCTTTAGTTTATTCATAGTTAAGAAAATTACTATCTTAAGCTCAAAGTGACTTGTTCCATTCTGTAAAGTTCAAAAGTAAGAGTTAGACCCTTCTTTTCTGTCAGTGGTTTTATCTAAAGCAAGATTTTGATGCCCTAAATAATTATGATATTTACATTCCAATGTTCCTATTTTCTTCACATTGAATGCAAATGAGCTATTTTTTCAGAGTAAGTCATGTGGTTTTTGGGCCTGAACTAAAACTCAAAAGGCTTGTGACCTATTCTTGAGATGTGGGAAAAAACTTGCCTGATAGCTTGATGTAATGTCATTAGATAGGTTGTTAGATCACCGATGTGACAAGCCCAGGGTTTTGTGATTTGAAGAGGGATTAAGTCATGGCCAATTGATGGACAACCAACAAATTTTTGATGGGGGTATTCTAAAGTTTTTTGAAGTTTTAAGTTAAAATGTTGTATTTTATGATGYATTTTGGAAGATAGCTTGTCAAGAAATTACTTATTGTGCAGAAATTCATACCAAATTTTTATTTTATCAAATATTAATTCTTAGATGGTTTCCTTAGGAGCTTTACTGTGTCTTGAAGTCGTTGCAAGTTAGAGAGTGTTTAAGATTCTTTACATTCGGGAAGTATGCTGGACATGGTAGAGTGAACTGGAGCCATGGACAATTTGTGGGAGAGGTCTTAAGAAAGCTAAGAAATGACCTATGGTGTTTTGTCTGAAGAGAGAGAGAGAAGAAACAGTTAAAGGTTCATCTAATACTTTTAGAGGCAGAGGGAAATGTGGTAGGAGGAAGAAAGTGTGCTGGTGCATTGGGGATGTAGTTGTATGCTTCGATGGTCAAAATGGGCTTTCATGATATTTTTAATTTTTAAGCTATCATTTTATTGATATTCATGTGCTGCCTAACTTTGCAAAACTTTTATAACATCAACGAACTTTTATAGCATTTTTATTAAAATATACTTCTTATATCTTGTAGAAGTGTTTGTGCTGTAAGTTATGCTGTGAAACTGTTCATGTAGTATTCAGTTTTGTATTGGATGTGTACCTGATATGGTTATAGTAAGCAATAGCATGTAAAGGTACCTGGTTATTGAAGCTCTTACATGAAGATATATTTCTATTCAGAACTTAAGCACTTTGCATATTTTTTTGTTACTGGTTAGTATTCCAGTGTCTGAACTGTGGAGCTGGAGCTTGAATTGAAGTGGAAATATTGGAGTGTCAAAAATGAAATGCTCTGAAGGATAGGAGTTGTAGTTTAGATATGTGTGTATATACACATACATATATGCATATACAAACCCATTAACTTACTGTATTTTTCAGGTATTTATGCCTTGTTAATCGTTAAAACTGTATTGATTATTAAAATTCTTAATGCTATTTTGTGTAGCACATTCAAAGAGAAGGGATTGGATTATTCATCTTGGTTAATAGGTGATTCTATGTGGACTGAGTTACTAGCTGCAGTACATGGGATCCAGATTAGTAACCAGATTGGGGTGGAAAARTTTCTAGTTGAAGGAGACTCAAAGGTGGTTGTGGGATGGCTGTTGGATCCAGATTCTGTCATTTGGAGTTACAGGGACAACATAAAAAAGTGAAATGGTTAACAAGGTACATGACAATTAGAATCCAATGGGTGGGCAGATTGGCAAATGCAATGGCTGACTTTCTTGCTAAACGAGGGGTTTCCCAGGAACTATTATATTCGGCTGCTTTGTAATTTTAGTTTTTGAAAACCTGTAATCGCTGTTGTTAAAGGAAAGGTTGCATCTTGTGCCTCTCCTAGGGATGCTTGTAAAAATTTACCCTCTTGATTAATGAAATTTCCATTCAATTATCAAAATAAAAGGAAGGAATATAATACCCCAACATGTGGTTGGGAATCATAATCATAACTAGTAAATGATTCATGGGTATGTTTACAAATATGTTTTAAGTGTGGCCTGTAATTCTTGTCCCATGAGAGTTGTGRTTAATTAGTTTGATGGCATTTGTATAAACTGTCTATTACTTGTAGACTTGTGAACTTTTCCTCCTAATATTGCTTCTTGTTTCAATTAATCTTCCAGGATTTCTTTGAAGATGTAGGACCGCTCCTCAGTATGCAATTAGGAGGTCAAAGCCTGGAAGGCCTGTTTCAAGTATTCAACTCATATGTTAGCTTACTCATAAATGCGTTGCCAGGTTCAATGGAAGAAGAAGGAAGACCGGAAGGCTCTGGAAATAAAATTGTTCGGATGGCTGAGACTGAACCTCAGCAGATTGCTTTGCTAGCAAATGCATCTTTATTAGCGGATGAACTGCTACCACGGGCTGCCATGAAGCTTTCTCCACTGAACCAGAATGGTATTAAGGATGAACCTCGTAGAAGAGTTACTGACAGGCAAAACCGTCATCCTGAACAAAGAGAATGGAAGAGGCGCCTCCAGCGCTCTGTTGATAGATTAAGAGATAGTTTCTGTCAACAACATGCTCTTGATCTCATTTTCACTGAAGATGGCGATACCTTTCTTAGTGCAGACATGTACATAAATATGGATGGGAATGCAGATGAAATTGAGTGGTTCCCCTCTCAAATATTTCAGGTATTTCAGATGATGAGATCTTTCAATTTGGTTCTCATTGTACTTTGCCAATTTGACTTGTTATCATACTCAAGTTTAAGTTCATTCTTTTCAATATGTTCCAGATTGCTTTTACTGCACAAAAGTTGGGCAGCTCCTCTAAGTGCTGGTTAAATACTCTAAATAAACCTTAGGAAACACAATATTATAATTAAGCTTGCTTAAACAACCCAAAAGCATCATATACAAAATCTTGAAAATTAACAAGTAACATTGCCAGTCTGCTACATGATATATTTTATTTTATTTTATCTTTCTATTTCTTTGGTAAAATACAGGGTTCTGGTAATACTGTTAACCTTCAAATGTACCAAACCTGAAGTTGATGGGTCTAGATCAAACATGGAGAGGCTGAAAAGTACATAGACTGAGGTAGTAAAAATGATCAAGACCAAAACAAAGAAATAGTAAAAATGATCCAAAGCTTACAATTTAATAGGGGTATGATTCTCATAGAGTGGAGTGGAAAATCAGGGTTGGCCTACCCCATATAGTTGCAATGATGTTTTGTTGAGTTGACTTCTACTGGACATCCATGGTTGTGATGTTGTGTGAGTATACACTGAATATGAATAMGAGGCAGAGGTGGGGAAGGGAAAAGAAACCATGAATGAAGATATTATATATCTTCTCCATCCTTTTCTAGTAGTCATTTTGTAATTTGCAGATTTTCTCAAATTCTTGGGTAAATTTAATTTTTTTTGGTGTTATTTTCACCAAAAGTAAGAGTAATGTAAGGTTGGCCAGAAATAAAAGGCAGAGCTCAGCTGGAAGCAGTAGTACTCTGGCTTTGTTGAAGATAGAGGTGGGAAAGAAGAAATTGGGGTCTTAAACTGAAGATAAAAAAGAAAGATGTTGTGCAGAGAGAAGAGGAGGTTCCAGGACAGGAGGATGACTTAGAGGAAGATGAGACTGAAGAGGAGAAGATGAGGAGGCAATTGTTGATAAACTAAGGGAAATAGAAGAAAATGTGGAGTTAGAATAGTTGGTGGAAATCAAAGTGCAAGTAAACAAGTTATTATGGTTATCTATTTTAGGTGGGGAAATAACCCTAAGCTATTCAGGTGGGCATTGGTCTACTCAAGGTCTTAAAACTGCTAGCTACACAGAATTGGAGGAATGTGCTAATAGAAAGGGACTGCAAGGTTGTTTTAACTTGGCTAAACTCTGAAGAGGATCCTCCTTGGAGACTCAGATCTTTGGTTAGAAAAGCGTTCGTTCTGGTCAGAAGTCAGAACTATTCATTCAGGTGGATTCTCATATATGCTAATTCCCTAGCCAACCGCTTGGCTAGAGAAGGTGTTCCTAGGCATGGTTTGATTGGGGGATTCCAGGTCCAGTGGCCTTATAGTAACAGGGTTTGCTTTTATTGTCACTTTTTCTGTGTTCTTTGCYGGTTTTTTACATTCTTTGCAGCCTTTGTTTAAAGATTTGTCCATTTGACTTGATTTAGTTGCATTTGATATATTATTCTRTTACCCATTCAACAAGGTCAAGATGTCCATTTGACCTGATTTACAGTGGAAGGTACACCTTACCAAATATGGATAGTAGCAGCAATGAAGATGGAGCTTACATGGCTATGGATTGCTTACATGGAGCCTCTTCGTTGGATGGTGAAGGTAAACGATCAACTACAGAAGCAGCCCAACCATCTGCCTTAGCAAAAGAAGGGTTGCAGCTTACTAATTCTTTGAAGCAAAGTTGACCATTGATGGTTAATCAAAGGGTCCAGTTTAAATCTTTTGCAGAAGTGTCAGACCTACCTGACATCCTCAGCAAGGAAAAAAGGGTGGGAAGATGTAAAGACGTGGCTAAACCAGGTACTAAGGTTGTTCACTCAACTGAACCGGAAAATAACAAAGTTGGGGCTGAACCAGGAGGCCAGATTAAAAACCCTTCTGAACCGTGKTCAACCAAAGCATGTGATAACTCAAAATCCTTTAGGGGATGAACAAAGGGGTCTATCATCTTCCCTGCTGCAACCTCTCTCCCCTCTGTTTGAAGTCTCAAAGAAATGGGGCTCGAAGGAACCCTCCTCAGGCAATGCTAGCAGGATTTCAAGAAGGTTCTTAGGAGGTTCAAATCTAGTTTGGAGATTGGTTTGTTCAGAGAACTCCACAACACCTGACCCAATCCAAGGTATTTTAGAGARCCTAGAGGAGATTGGGAGGATCTTCAAGTCTTTGAAAACAACGAAGACAAAGAGGTAAATCGACTATCAAGGATTGGCAGTATTGGCTCTGCAAAAACTTATAAAGTTCTAGATGAATATTGTCTGGGAAGCAAGCTTTTATTCGAAGATAAATCTCTGGAAAGGATGGTTGAGTTGACAGAAGCAGAAAGAGAAGAACCAACCCTTCCTGTGAAACAAGGTCACTACAACCTGAAGAGCACACACTACAGTGCAATCTGTGCAAGGCCAAAAATAGGATCAACGATTTAGGAATTTTGGTAACCCTACTATTTTAAGCAGAGAAGCATAGGAGGAACAGAAACATGATGTTGTTCAAGGTGAATTCTCAAGAGAAAGGTGACAAAGAAGGGCCAGATTCAAGGGAAGCTTGCAAAATATTGGAATATGGAAACTCTAACCCCTACCCTCCTCTAGTTCCTGATTGCAATTTTAAACCTGTGTCCTCTTGTCCTCCTCTTTCTATGTTTGCAGATCCAGTTCCAGTTCAGATGACTGAATGTTGAGAGTGCCTTTGTACTTGAAGTAGGGATCATGAGAGAGGAATAGGAGGGTGATGATAGTTAGGGTAGAATTTTAGATTTAGTGGTTAAAAGTTTATCAGTGTTGTTGGAAGAGGAGGACAGGAAAACTGGAGGAGAAGCTGGGTCTTTTGGCCTATGAGGGGAAGCCATAGAACTGAAAAAAGGAGAAGACTTCAGATGCTAAAGTCTACTCCAGAACAAGAAAAGGAAAGGGGGAAGGAAAGAAGGCTGATACAGAATATGGATGTGAAACTTAAATGTGTCAAACGATCTGTAATGTTTTTGCTGATGTGCTTGCAAAACAAGGGGTGGAGAGAAGTCAACTATTTTGGGCTCAGTTGTAATTGTTTTTTACTGTTGTTCAATGGGGAGAGTTAAGAAAGGTTACCTCTCCTCTTCTTGTAATTTTGTGTTTAATCAATGAAAGTTTTCAGTTATTGATCAAAAAAAAAAAAGAACAGAAGGAAAGAAGCCTAATCTCTCTCTCTCTCTATATATATAAATATATAAAGAAGGAAGCCTAGGAATTTTCTCCTTTTTATGATTTTTTTATATTTTATTCCATGTAATTTTTGAAACAATTAATGAGATGCTCTCCTTTCCCATAAAAATTACCTAAAATTTCTCTCTCTCTCTCTTTCTCTCTCTCTCCCCCTCCCATACGTTTCCAATAACCTAAATAATCCCCTATCCTAAAATTTCTCCTAAACTACCTCCCCCACTTTCTCCTAAATTATCTCTAATTCCTATTTATCCTCTCACACACTTTTTATCTATATCTATCCAAAGAAGGTTTGCATTAAAAATTTTAAGAATTATTTAAATATTTTAACTAAATTATATAATAACTTTAAAATATTTATTAAAAACACAAAAAATAATTATAATAGATTTAATAATATTCATATTATTAATAATTTTATATTTTTACAAAATTATCTTAAATAACCAAATCTTAAATATTTTAAATACTTTACATACTATTTAAATATTTAGGTAACTAAGTATATTAAATAACAAAATATTTAAAATGACTAGATTTTAAATAATTAATTTAATATTTAGAGATAAATATTATTTGAGATTGCACTATTTATTGACTAATTTAATATATTTATAGTTTTTATTGTATTTTCATTATCAATATATTTTCAATAGTTGTGTATGTTCACTATAAATTTTCAATAATCATTTTAGATTAAACTATTGTTATTTATTAGAGATTAAACTATTAATTTAGCTGAAATTWGGAGAGTTCATGAGTTAGTTCGGTTCGATTGTAAGCTGTTTGGCCAACCAAACCGACTTGGTCAGGTTGGGGAGTTGGTTACCTGAAACGACTAACAATTAGTGAAAACCAACCAACTCAGGTTGTATTGGTTTTGGTCGGTTTTCAATTTGGTTGGTYAGTTCAAAAAATTTAAATTTTAAAATTAAGTTTAAATTTATAAAAATTGCAGTGGCATTATTAAAAAATAAATTTGTGATATAAAATATTTTAGACTAATAAATATAAGAATTTTCCCACTTTCCTGTATTAAAAATTATATTTAAAATATAAAATATTAATATATATCTATGGTCTGGTTATTCGATTTTGGTC